TTGGCCTTTAACAATAGCCTGGCTTGGAATTGGCCTAAATATGTAGAAAACTTTCTAGTGACTAATGGCATGGATCATATCTATGGAAATGAAATACCCCAAAATCCAAAATGGATAAGAAGTTTTATCAAAATCAGTAAAGAAAATGAAATAAACAAGTTTACACAAAATTTGGAGAAGATGAAATCATTAAAACACTACTGTTGGATTAAAAGAAAATTACATAATGGATCCTTATGATCATCATGGTATCTCCTTTGTCTTTAAAACTAGGTCAAACTCTTTAGATCTTGAAAGTAACAAAATGGGATGGAAAAATTACAGGGGTAATGGAATTTGTGAAGTCTGTAATCAGGGCAAAGAAGACATTTACCACTTTCTTTATCTTTGTACGTCATCTAATCATATTAGAAAGGAATTTTATTTAGCATTAGAAACCTCACTGAGAAACAATGTTGAATCTTCATCACTAATGAATAGTTTTCTTTCAGGGGGGTTGAATTATAGGTTCAATTTCCTTTTTGGTGATACACTATGGGACATAAATGAAAATGTGGGAAATACCTCATCAGCTTTAATTAGGAAATATGTAACTGATTTATGGCAATATAGAAAAGAAATGATAAATGTAATTTAAATATATGTATTACTGTTTTCATGCTGCCGATACAAAGGTGGAATAAACATTATTATTATTATTATTATAGCCGTTGGCGAAAAATCGCAAATCAAAGTAAATGAGGTGTAATTCAGTGACTGTGGCCCAACACTTCAAGCTAGTCTCATGAAATTAACACAACTCGCTAGTCAAAAATCATGTCACATGATGGATGGGGCACCCTATGGTTAACATTACAATGTTTGTTACTCATCTCACCAAAGACCATAGTCTTTGATTTAACTAGTTCAAGTTTCGCGCAGTACTCACTTTTTTAAATAGCATTTTTTGTTCGTTTATTTAGCAATCACGTGACTACCATTGAATTATATTCAAAATGACTCAGAATTTTAAAAGTGTGAAATATAAGCTTTAATAAAATATATACTTTACTATTGTTCATAACAATTCTTAGATGGAAATAATAAGCTTAATAAGTCTACTACATTGATACTTGGTCCAGACGATAATAGAGTTTGATAATGACAATAATATAATTTTCCCCATAAATACTAGTAATGGTCGGTCATTTATAAATAAGAAATAATAATGGCCCTAAAATTGAACTATGTTGTACACCATGTTGAATATTAACAACATGCGAAAGTTCATCCAGGCATCAAATACACAGGTTGCTTTCTGGCAGATAAATGGGAATTAAACATCTTCCTCTTACTCAATAATTGACACCCGAAATAAGAGGAGGATAGCCAGGCTAATAAGTTCATACGCAATTGCTTATGTCCGGTCATGGTTTGGTATATGGTGCATTTCCTGTTATGATGGTAATTTGCATATCCTGTCGCAGTTGGCGTGGGGCTAGTATGATTATGACTGCATTTCGTCAGTGCCAATCTGTCATTCGGGGATGGCAGAACGAAAACGACGTGTGCGGTTTGCAATCGAGTTCCCCGGTTCTTCGGAAAAGAAAACTGCGATTCAACAGAAGTTATCCAGTGTGAAGTCAAAACTCATGGCAACCCGTAAAGAAGCCGAGAAAACTTTTACTAACTACGATGTCTTAGACGAAATTCTTGATTGTTGGTTGGTTAATAATCAATCATACAACCAAAGTTCATCTAATGCTCATCCTTCTGTGTCTCTTGCAGCAGGTATTTCTTCTGGAATTTCACAGTGACGACTGCAACACGATTAGAATGTGGATTGCAATCAACAGCGCCACCAGCGACCATATATTATTTACTGTTGCATCACCTACAAATCTCAACATGGCGGACGACGAAGAAAAAGCGTTGCATCGGGAGCTTAAATATTTAACAGGTGAAGTGCTAATTTGTGTACTAATTTACTCATCAACACTACAACAGAAACTTGTGACAAAATATATTCGGTTTACTGGTTTGAATACGTGGGTCAAGCCAGGTAGCTTGCTAGGTTCATTGCGAGATTCAGATGGAATCATTTAAATGTCCGTCGAACCGTTTCGGCGTTTGTGAATGTCGCTATGGCAAGTCATTTCCGCCTATAGTTACTTGCGTTGTATTCACCAGTCAGCTGTCGTAACTGACATATTCCTTGTGGAACATCCTATTTTAAAACTGGAAAAAGTGAATCCATGTGGCATTCGGCCCCGAAGGATCAGCGGAAAGAAGGCCAACCTACAGGACTGTACTCAGGCTACACTAGTTACAGATCATCGTAATCCCTCTAGTGTTACATTGTCTACTAGACATAGACCCTTGCACGGTGATTCACACTTAGGCTTACACGTCACACTTACTACGTAGTCGCAAGTCCATGATGTGATCATCGACTCTTATACTGGGGTTGTAGACTGAAGGTCGTTTTCATTACATACCGGACCCATTTTTTATTCAGAATGTGCATCTGGCAAAGTATAATTTTTTGGAGTATTTTGTATGTAATTGATTTTCACTGATTTTTGGTGAGTTGAATGTAAAATATAGAAAAAAAGGTGTATTTGCTGGATTTTATATTCACACAACCACTCCATCAGCGAAAAAAAAATAATTACAAGCAAAAATAAAGTATTTATAGTAATCACTTACAGAACTTGAATATCCATTTAGTGTTGAAATATTACTTCATACAGAAATCAAAAAAAAAATTCGTAACTAAGGTTTTTGGAGGGTCAGGTGTACAGTAGAAATATCTAAAAGAAAGAAACACAATTTCACATGTGCATTCTCTAAACGGACAATTTCTAAAGCACATACTAGTAGTCCCTTTATACTTCAGTTACTTCAATGTACATTATGTTAATTAGTATACAAATTATTATGCAAATTTGCCACAACCCTGAGACAATTTTCTGTAGAGAACAGTTGCTTCCTTCAGTTTACTTAAATGTAGTTACAATGAATCTTATATTATTTTTTTTTTAAATCCCAAAAGTTTACCGCATTGACCTTGTGGCAGAAGGAGTCAATACCGCTTTTCAAGAGGGAAAATATAATGACACATTTAAGCGGATTAACAAGAGATTTGACGCAGTAATATTAGTGAAGGTTCACTTGCCCTTTAATTTTCTGTGCTTCCGGCCATCAATGCAAACCAGTTGATTATTTGTGTCATATTTGTTGTAACTCGTTTCAAAAGACAAATTGATAACTTATGTATGCAATGATATTTTTCATCATTGCTGAAATTATCAAATTATTAACATACATTTGTCTGGGAAAGGAAATCCCTGATTGGGTGGCTTAACCTGAAATTCTGTACGAACCTCTCAAGCCAGTGAACCAGAATATCTCTGAATTTTGTATTAGATTCCTAGCTAATTTTCCAAACCGAAACTCTGAAAGTTTTTTACCAGTTGGACATTTTGAAGTACTGTTTTGTATACAAGAGAAGTGTTAATTAAATAAATAAAAAAAAACTGTGTATTTACACTTGAACACTGTATGTCACATTGACCCATATTAAATGTGACATGGTGTTACAACTGACGCTTTGAACTAAATATAATTTTTCTCATATTAAATCTGACTACACCATTAAAAAGATAATTATTTTTACCTTGTATCATCAAAGATAGAAGGAAAAAGTATATTAAAGGGAAAATTGTCTGTCGTTGTTGTTGTTGTTAATAATTGTTAATGTGTGCACAATAACTTTATCAAACTTGGTCACCTAATTCATCAGTATATCAGTTTGTGGAAAAAATGTACACTATGAATAAATTATTTAAATTATATGCTAATGTTTA